CAGCTATATTAATCAACACCGTCAAATAACGTTTGAATCGGTCCTAAATAACACAAAATGTCCTTTTTTTTGATGAAATGAGTTTAACTAAAGAAAAGAAAATATTTATTTGAGACAAATATACTTACTGCTTATTTCAATATTGACGTGGATCCATATAAAGAAAAGAAAAACATTTATTTCAAATAATTACTAAGTCGCCAAAAATGTTTGGTCCGGGATGGGGTATAGTGCCAACAACAAATAATGTCAACATTAAGTTCTATGTCAAATGAAAGTTCGTGAAAAATAGGATTAACTGGCATAGATGGTAACCGGATTAATAATTATAGACCGTAGAACTATTGTTGTTTGTAGAATTAACATAGTACACGACTAATACAATTTTATTATGTTGATTCGCCTTTGTACTAAATCCATTAATAACCTTTTCTTTTTTTCTTTCTCTTTTCTTATCATTAGATTCCACTGCAATGATACAGTGAGTCCAATTATTGAGTGTGATGTAAGAGAATAGACACATCCACATCCTCACCCACCCTCAAGAAAATGATAAAGCTCCTACAATACTTTCAAATCAGTAGCTATTTCTCATTCACTGATACAGTCCTTTTGTTCTAACAAATTTCTTGCGGCCATTTAACAACAAAACGATGTACGACAAAGAGAAGCAACATTCGCTTAAGGAATCATGTTTCTATTTCTATTTCATTTAATGATAAAGTATCGATAGCATATTGAATTACTGAAGTAATTGCATAGATAAGGCAAACAAAGTTGGAAAGAATAACTATAAAACGAAATCATTTCGTTCGATCGCAAACGTCGTTAAAAAATTTACTTGCACTGATCTGTCTCTAGCTCTGCACAACAGTATTTTAAAAAGTAACTGGTTGAAGCTTCTCATCGAGCCTTAACAAAAGTATACACACATTTTGCATGCTGAAAAAGATTGGAAAATACGCCATTGATGAGCTTATATTCAACATCAGATTATAAAAAGGACCAAATGAGTGGATCAAAATCCAACCCAAAAGCTTCTTTATCATTAAACACGATTATAACACCATCGGATGTTATTCAACGAAGGCGACGAATGGTTCGAAATTATTCGATTCTTTGGTTAGATGAGTGTATGGATGAAGCAAACCGAGAATGTCAAAGTATTTTGACACAATTGAAAACCAAAACAGATGATGTAAACGTCTTTAAGCAGCGAGACGAATGTATCGACGCTCTTACAGATGCTGAAGAAAACATCAAGTCTTTTCTCGTTCTTGAAAACACTATGGCTCAACAAATGATGCCGCTCATGAATGACATCCCTCAATTGCATAGTGTTTATATCCTTAGTAATATTAAATCCCAATATGAAGAATGGTCAACAAAATGGCAAAAAGTCAGGGGCGCTCATACTAACATCGATGATTTATGTAAAGTATTACAACTGCATATCAAGAAATGCAATCAAGATTCGATTGCCATGAGTTTTATCACGGTAAATGAAATGACTTCAACTGATAATTCAAATCAATTAGAGCCAACATTTATGTATACTCAAATATTTAAGGAAATCATTCTTGATATGAAACATGATAAACAGGTCATCAAAGAGTTTACAGCTTATTGTCGACAACATGACTGTGGATCACCAACGAATATTGATCAATTTGAAAACGAATACCATACTCAATCAGCTATTTGGTGGTATACTTCTCCCTCATTTATCTACTCTATGCTGAATTATGCTCTACGCTCGATGGAAGCCAACACAATTATTAATATGGGCTTTTTCATACATGATCTTCACCAACAAATTCAACAACTGCACCAACAACAATTTAGTAGTTATCACGATAAACCATTCATAGTTTACCGAGGACAAGGTCTATCCAAAGCAAATTTTGAAAAACTGCAAAAAACAAACGGTTCTTTACTGTCCTTCAATAACTTTTTATCCACTAGTACGGAACAAGACATTTCCCTACTCTTTGCCAACTGTGCGTCAGACAACGTGGACATGATAGGCATTCTTTTCAAGATGTTAATTGATCCTCGTGTTAAATCAGTGCCATTTGCTTCCATCAAGCAAACAAGCTATTATAACGAGGAAGAAGAAATTCTCTTCTCAATGCACACGGTCTTTCGAGTGGGTCACATTGAAAAAATTGACAATAACAATCAAGTTTATCAAGTTGAATTAGAATTAACGTCGGATGATGATCAACAACTACGATTACTTACAGATCGGATACGAGAAGAAGTTGGTGATAGTACTGGATGGAAAAGATTAGGTAACTTATTGCTTAAAATTGGTCAGTTTAATAAAGCTGAAGAACTTTATAACGTATTACTCGAACAAACATCTGATGAGGATGAAAAAGTGCTTTATTATAATCAGCTGGGATTTGTCCAGTGGAATCAAGGTGATAATGAAAAGGCTATTTGGTATTACGAACAAGCGCTTGAAATTGAACAAAAAACGTGTCCTTCAAATCATGCTAGTTTCGCAACTTCGTACAACAGCATCGGTTTGGTTTATCATAGTATGGGAGAGTATTCGAAAGCACTTTCATTTTACCAACAAGCACTTGAAATTCGACAAAAAACTCTTCCTGCAAATCATTCTGATTTAGCACAGTCATACAACAACATCGGTGGTGTGTATAACAGCATGGGAGAGTACTCGAAAACACTTTCATTTTACGAACAAGCACTTGAAACCTGTCAAAAAACTCTTCCTTCAAATCATCCTCATTTGGCTACTTTATACAACAACATCGGCTTGGTGTATAAACAGATGGGAGAGTACTCGAAAGCACTTCCATATTGTGAAGACGCACTTGAAATTTGTCAAAAAACTCTTCCTTCAAATCATCCGTCATTAGCTACTTCATTCCACAGCATCGGTACTGTGTATGACAACATGGGAGAGTATTTGAAAGCACTTTCATTTCACGAACAAGCACTTGAAATTGATCACAACACTCTTCCTTCAAATCATCCTTCATTGGCTAATTCATACGATAACATCGGTTTCGTGTATAACAACATGGGAGAGTACTCGAAAGCACTCTCATTTTACGAAAAAACACTGGAAATTCGACAAAAAACTCTTCCTGTAAATCATCCTGATTTGGCTACTTCATACAACCACATCGGTTTGATGTATAACAATGTGCAAGACTATTCGAAGGCACTTTCATTTTACGAAAAAGCACTTGAAATCTATCAAAAAACTCTTCCTTCAAATCATCCTCATTTGGCTATTTCATACAACAACATTGGCAGTGTATATAACACAATGGGGGAGTACTCGAAAGCACTTTTATCTCACGAACAAGCACTTGAAATTCGACAAAAAACTCTTTCTTCAAATCATCCTGATTTAGCACAGTCATATAACAACATTGGTCTGGTGTATCACAACATGGGTGAGTCCTCGAAAGCACTTTTATCTCACGAAAACGCACTTGAAATCTATCAAAAAACTCTTCGTTCAAATCATCCTTTATTGGCTACTTCGTACAACAACATTGATTTGGTGTATTACAATATGAAAGACTATTCGAAGGCTCTTCCATTTTACGAAAAAACACTTGAAATTGAACAAAAAGTACTTCGTTCAAATCATCCTGATTTGGCTAATTCATACAACAACATCGGCGCTGTGTATAACGGCATGGGAGAGTGCTCAAAAGCACTTCCATATTGCGAGAAAGCACTTGAAATTCAACAAAAAACTTTTCCTTCAAATCATCCTATAGTGGCTACTTCATACAACAACATCAGGGCTGTGTATAAAAGCATGAGAGAGTACTCGAAAGCACTTTCATATTATGAACGTGCTCTGAACATATGGCAGCATGCATTACCTCCAACTCATTCTCATATAAAAGTGGTGAGGAACAATATTGAAATTGTAACAAAGAACTTATAAAAAATAATTCATAAATAACAAGAGATTTTGCTCACTTTTTTTTAATTTAATTCTACTTTTCAGTGGCCCGCGCGTGCGTACAAAGAACAACTTTGTAAATAATTAAAACGTAATGAACAGAGGCGACTGATAAGATAATACGCACACATAAGAATATGCATAAATAGGCTTCTCAGAAATATTTACTTTCTTTACGAATGTTTTTTGCAACCAAATTAAGAAGAAAAAATATATAATACTTTAGATAATAGTCGTGAAGTAACAGCGAAAGAAAAAAGAAATCGAAAACAATAAAAATAGAATAACTTACGTGGAATTGAATTGCATTGAATTGTTGTAGTGTTGAACAAGGCCTCCTATGATGAAAGGAGCTGAAAACAATCCGGTATATATCAATACATTATCAGCACATCGTCTAGTGAAATTTATTAATTAGTATTTATTATTGATGAGAAAAAAATGAAAAAAATAATCATTTATTGATAATGTGTTGGTGAATTCGGACATATTGAAGACGGCCTGAATTATGATTTAAATCTTAATGAATAATCTGTTAAAATTCCTCGGCCTACGATTCAAACTAAGGGGGATATTGTTTGATGAGATCAACAAAGTAACATTTAAAATGTTGATCAAAGTTTCGTATCACTAAGCCAGTATTTCTCCACATAACATTTGTATTTTATGAAAATGATTCAATGTTATTATCTACTGCCAATACATTTCTTTATATCATGTATGTGTGTGTATAATTGAATAGTTGAATTCAAGTCTCGAGTTTGACACAACGGACTTCTGTCCGAAATTTTAGAGAAAGAAGATGGTAAAATGTTTCGTAAGTTGAATAAGGTTATAAAATTTAAGAGTTTAAAAGAAATTTGACAGTTAAATATCTAATGATTAATTAATTATTATTGAGAAATAGAAAAACTAACAAATGGAATGTTTAAAACAATTGAATAAACAATAGAAACAATATAAAATGGAATGTATAAAAACATGAAAATATCTTATTGCTTGATGATAGTTGAGTATAAATTCTTTTACATCCTTTATTATCTCGATGTGTAATAAATTGTTGGCAATCAGGTGTTTCTAAAGAGATAAAAAACAATTTGATTATTTAATAAATAAATAAATAATTTATCCCTTACGATAAAGTGTAATTTTTCCAAATTCAGATGGAAAACCAGGTGATGTTGCATTAATATAATAATGACCTAAATCAGCTTGTTCAACATTAATTATTGTCAAACGTGATAGAATACAATCAGTACAAATTGACATTTCTGGTATTGTAGCTTCAATTAAATATTTTTGTGAATTCCAAATATCTGTATCATATTTCATATTTGGTAAACCAGCACTTCGTTCTTTACGCCAACTGAAAAATAAATAAAAATTAACATAATTAACAACAGCAAAATTGAAATCTTACGAAATTTTTGGTGGTGGATAACCATACACATAACATTCCATATAAACATCAACTTGAAAATCGGTTGCTTGACCAACTTCACGTTGACAATAAATATATGGACGAACTAAAACAATAATCCATTTATGATTGAGATTTCATTATCTATATATATTCAAACTTACATCTTACTGAAAGTTTCAATGTCCATTCACTACCAAAACCAACTAGATTACTAGCTAGAAATACAAACAAAGAATATTGATTTCATTTTAATTCATAATCTCTACAAACCAAGACATTTATAAATTCCAGTATCTTTACTCGATACATGATATAATTGTAATTGAGATCCCTGAGATGAAATATTTATATTAAGTAGAAATAAATTTTAGAAAATCACATACCACTTGTCGAATATAACCTGAAGTTAAAGGTCGTGCATCTGCTTTTTGCCATTCGATTTTTGGAGTCGGATATCCTAAACGAAAAAATTAATTAGATTTTCTTATTTTTCATTTAAAAATAACAAACCTTGTGCATTGCATATAAGTGTAACAGAGTCTCCATCACTGACTTCAATATCTTTTGTTGATGATTCAAGAACAACAGGTTCACCTAATTAAAAAAACTTCAATTTTTTTTATTATAAATATGTATTAACTTACTAATCACATTAAGAAAACGTGTTAAATATACATCTCGTAAATTTGTGTCAGTTAAACGACCTAAATTCATAATTAGATATTCAAAAAAAAGTTTTTTTTTGTAAAATTAATTTACATGTTAAATTTCCAATATCATCTCGATCAAGTGGATCAAATATTAAATACCAATCCGGTGAATCAGTACCATGTATAGCTTGTAAACGAGGTATTGGTTGATTAAATTGTAAAACATCAGTATCAACAGCTAATGTAAAATTTTTTCCATCATTAAATCTTTCTAATGACCATTCAACCTAAATATATTAGACAAATTAATTTTATCCAATGAATTGTAGCGAGATGATTACTTCTTATAATCACTTAATCTTTAACTTACGTGACGTTTATCATTAGGTGTTAAGCCAACTAGAGTACATTTTGCGACCAATTTCTCTCCAGCTCGTGGTGCAATTGGATCAAAAATAATTCCATCTTTATCTCGCATATCAAATCGTGGCATTGTTTCGGCATTAATAGATAAAATTGATATAAATAATAAATATCCTATTTGGAAAGAGCCGGGAAAATGAGATTTTGTTTTCATGTTTTGACCTAAAAACAATGTGAGATGTCGTTCCTTTGATTGATAATTTGTCGCCAGAACTGGACAAAGGATGACCGATCGAATGACCAATGGTCATATGAATAATTTTTTAATTTTTAATAAAAAATAATCATTTTTTTTCGTTTTATTTTATTTTAATTTACAGATTAAAAAATTCTTGCACATATTAGTTTAACTTGAGCGACATCTTTTTCATCATTTCACTAGCTTTTATTTTTAACTAATCAAATAATATTATTTTCTCATATCATATCCATTTCAGAAAAAAACTTTCTCTTATAATTTCAGAAAATCTCAATAATGGCAATATATCAAAAAACGTAAGAATTAATATCGATTAAAATCTTTCTATTTCTAACTATTTTAAGAGTTGAACAATTCGAAACATTACTTAAATGTGATATAATTGATTTAAAAAGACTTAAAATACTTGCCTTCAATGGTAAATATCTTCATTAAAAATTCAATTTTGTATTCATTTAGAATTTTCTTCTATTAGGGTGTCCAGCAGAGAATGGCATTCGTAGTTTAACATGGAAGGTAATATTTCATTGAATACTTTATTCAATAAATACTTCTTTTTAAATCAGGTATTACTCAATTATCTTGTACTCGATCGAACTAAATGGTCATCACATTTGAGTAAACAACGGTACGAAAAATATAGATTAAAAATCAATTTTTGTATTCTAATAAAAATTTGTTTGTCTCTCTAGGGAATTGTATCGTGGTTATATTCGTGAAACTATTATAAAACCAGGTCTTACACCAACAACCGAAGCTGATTTCGTTGACCATGTTCGTTTTTACTTGAAAACAAAAAAAAACGATTCTATTTTATTCATATATTTTCAGCCATTAAATTCTGCACCGGATAGTTCATGGGCTGTTTATTTTAAAGAAAATGAAGTTCTATTACAAATTGACAAAGATGTTCGGTTAGTTTTATTTTCTAAAGAAAACCATATATTGTTTTTTTGTTATTTCAACTAGACGTCTCTGTCCAGATTTATCATTTTTTCAACGTGAAACTGATTATCCATGTTCCGAAATCTTAAATCAAGAAGCGGGTTTTGAAAGTTTACGTAAACGTATTGTTTCAACAGCACTTAAAGTTGAATCTCAATCCCAATCACGTTTAACTGGTCGATTAGAATTCGAATATCAAAATAAAAAGAGTCATTCCTCAACATCATACGACGATAATGAATATCAATTATTACCCGACGGACATGAAGCGCACTGGGAAGTTGTTGAAAGAATTTTATTTGTCTTTTCAAAACTTAATTCAGGACAAAGTTATGTACAAGGAATGAATGAAATTATTGGACCGATTTATTATACATTTGCAACAGATCCAAATTTAGAATGGAGAGGTACAAAAAACAGTTTTATATCTAGATTCGACTTAGGAGAATATTTGTTTGATATAACAAAATATGGGAAATTATTAATCGGTCAGTAAAATAGATGAAATGATCTGTATTTAGATTATCACTCTTGTAAACAGAAGACTAGTAAAAATCCGATTTTAATCGATCAAAATAGGATAATATTAATGAATTTCAGTATTTTGCTCTTTTTATATAAATATTTACTAATTTTTAGAGTCGAGGAGTCCAAAGAGATATTGAGCACCTCAATTCGCAGCACAAATCTCAGAAAAACGCATTTTATGAGCATCGGTACTAAAGTTCATTTTTATAAAATTATTTTATTTTAATTGAAAACATAGTGAAAATCAAAATCTCTTTAATCCTCTTTTTAAATGAGTGATAATCGGAATACTGACCAACTAAGCTTTTTACTGCTCATTTCAGTTATTCTATTGGCCGATTAAATGATAGAAGACATAACAAGTAAAAGATGTAGAAATATTAGGGATAATCTGATGAGCTTATTTCTTTGAAGCCACCGGAAGTGAGAATCTTTGAAGTAGCTCGGCACGATCGTTGTTGTAGCTGTGGGTGGGTGAGGATATATAGTTACGGACTATTCTTCCTCCACACCCACCCTCAAGATTCGTTGTTTTGTCTTATCTTTATTTTTGAATGATTGCTTTTTATACATTTCCGTTGACACACAATCAAGAAGTTAAATAAATGCATTGTTTATTGACGTAATGGTTTTTTTGTCTAGAACATGCTGAAGCTGATGCATTTTATTGTTTTACAAATTTAATGATACATATTCGAGATAATTTTATGAAAATTTATGATCATTCGGAATTTGGTATACTTGTTCGTATGCAAAGATTTTTGATGTTATTAAAAAAAACTGATCATGATATTCATTATTTATTTGAAAAACAAAAATTAAAACCAGAATTTTATGCATTTCGTTGGTTAACATTATTATTATCACAAGAATTTCGTTTACCTGATGTTTTACGTATCTGGGATTCATTATTTGCTGATCAAGAAAGAAATTTTGAATTTCTTCTTTATATTTGCTGTGCTATGATTGTGTATATATATAATAGATAATTTAAAAAAACCGTATTTTATTTAAATATATTTTAGTCTTCAACGAACTCGCCTTTTAACTGGATCTGAATCACAAAATATCAAATTATTACAAGTTTGAAAATATAAATTTAAATTATTTCATATTAATTTTATCTTCTAGAATTATCCACAAGATATTGATGTATATCAAATTTTAGAAAAAGCAGTTGAACTCAAACGCCTTTATCTTTTATAATAGATATCTCATTTTTTTCTCTCTCTCTCTCAATAAAGAAAGTCTTATTTTTGTTGTTATTGTGACTATGTTGTGATTGTAAAGTGTATTCGTTAATTTTTGTTCAGATATAAAACAAAATTCAATATTTATTTCTTCTTCGCGTATTTAATTAGTTCTTAAGGTATATTCATAATCATATATATCACGTGCAATATAAAAAGAGTTGATCTGATTATTTTGCATGACGATAAGAATAATTATGTGATTATATACTATTGATATGTCTTTAGTCATTCTTCGGTATTTTTTTGTAATTCTTTACTTTAATTTTATCAGATATAAATAATAATATTCTAATAACAAAAAATTTTTTCCATCACACAATGATCTCAATTATGTTTCTAGATGGCTTCTGCTATAGTAACAACTGATAATGGTTATGTCATTGCTACTGATCAAACTAAGGCATGAAAAAAAAGGAAAATTTGTTCTATTTTAAATTTTTCTGTTTTGAAAAATAGGGTCGACAGATAATTTCGAAACGAATCTATCAATCGGGTGAATTAATATTTGAAGAACAACCACTTGTTTTAGCTCAATTTGAATGGAATAAATTATATAAATATTCAGTAGAGATTAATCATAGGAAAACAAAAAAGAAATGCATATTTTTTTTTCTTAAGGCATGTGAATATTGTTTATATCCATTAGAATCATGTGAACAGAACGTTCGTCGACTTTGCCAAGACACTTCCATTGTTATTCAACATCCAGAATGCGATCCGAATCAAACAATAAGTCAACGCATTGTTCGATGTCGACAATGCAATGTTAGAAAATATAAAATCGCTTTTTCTTTTCTACGAGATTTTGTTATAGGAAATGTATTGTTCAACAAAATGTTATCAACAAGCAATGACGAATTATCATTCAATATTATGTCAATCAACCGAAAATGAAAAGAAAGATCAATTGATTCGACATATTATTGATTTATGGAGGTAAAAATACTTCTCCCAACTAAGGTCGAAAGTAAAAATATCGAAGAAAAGAAGTGGAAATATAAAAATGATAAGAGTTTGGATGCTTGAAACAACTTAATGGGAAAAATAAAGAAAGACGTTTGAGGGCGGGTGTAAATATAGATATTCATCTATATTTAGCCACATCCACACCCTCACCCTTCGATATTTTTTCGTTTTGATGAATTTATATATTCATTAGATCTGCACATCCTCCACCTGAAACAACATCGATTACACTTGTACTTAAATTAATGGCGATGCTTAAGAATGTAAAATGTTTTATGAATTAATTATATAAATAATTGAAAACATTGTATTTCTCTAGAGTAATAATCGTTTATTACTTCTACAAGAATTGCAAAAATTTTCTCAAGGTGTTCAAAGTGAAAATCAAAAATTTTATCATAAATTATTACGCAAAGAATTTCAAGTTTGTTTTTTATATTTTTCAATTCGTAATATTTTTTTTTCGTCTTTAGTCTCAAGTTGAACAGTTAAGATATGCTCTAGAACAATTTAATGAACAGTATATGCAGATTTCTGAATTCAAATGGTTCCTTACATCAGATGGTTTTCGACAATTATTAGCTTTACTTGGTCGAAATCAACAAGGAATTGGTACCAGTTCACTTGCTATTTGGGTTAAAAATTGTGAAAACTTATCTAAAACTCAGGAAACAACAGCAGCAGCAGGAGCAGCGGGTAGTGATATATCACAATTTATCGATGCTATTTATACGAAAATAGATGATGGTAACGACGAAATAAAACTCTTTGTAGAAATTATATAGAGATTGTTTTAGTTTCCGGTGAATTTATTGATTGTGAAGGTAGTGGATTATTTAAATTACAAAGTTGTTGTAAGTTTATTCTTATAAATATTCAAGTTTATAGAAGTAATTTTTCTTTAGTAAATCATAGTTGTGATGCTAATGCTGAAATACAATACCTACATAATAATTCAACATTATCCGTAGTAACAACACGATTAATATCACCGAATGAAGTTTGTTTTTTTTACAAAAAAATATGAATATAAATGATTATTTCTAGGAAATTACAATTAATTATCTATCAGAATGTGATCGAAATCGATCAAGACATTCAAGACAAAAACTTCTTCAGTATGTAATCGATTTGTTAAATATACTAAATTTTCTATTGATTTATTTTTTTTTCAGAGAGAATTACTTATTTTTATGTCAATGCAATCGATGTGTATCAGAAGCGTCTGAGCCTGATGAAACAAGTGAAGAAGAAGAAAGTGAAAATGAAATGGATGAAGATTAAATCGTTATATTTTGTTTTTTTTTTGTTATGAAAAATAAAATATCTGTGATTAAAAGAAAACAAGAATAAATTGTTTGCTTGCAGGGTCAAAAAAACATCGAAAATCGATTTTTCGATGCAGGGACTTCGAATCTAACGTTAGATTTTTTAAATTCTTTAAAGAAAAAATTTTTTAGACAAAGGACGATTTTTTTATATAAAATTGAGATCGGAAAACACGAATCTGATGTTGGTGTTCGCAAGTTATATAAGCAAAAGGTCTCGTAGCATTGTAGAACACCATTTCTACGAGAAAGAGCTAAGCGACTTGTTTTTTATACAAAACATTAAGTATATGCATTCATGCTGAAATTATGAGTATGAACTCTTGACCGATTTATTTATCTATATAACACGACATCTATATTGTTTGATTTATGATTGGTTAACCTTGTGATTATTATAGAATAAAGTGAGCAACCATCATTCGTTCGTTCGTTTCAGAAAGAATAAACTAAAACATATAGAAAAGAAAAATTATGATCGATTGATAAAATGAATATTTAATTATATTTTAGATGTGTTTTTCTTATCATGTAGTATAAAAAACAAAATCATCGATTCAAATTATTAACGTTCTAATAATGATGAACCAAACAGCAGCACCACCACCACCTTCACAACAACAACAAACAAGTACGTCAAAAAAAAAAAACAATACATTTTTTTTCACATTAATTTTTCTTTTTAGTGTATATGACAAATCCTAATGTAACAGATACTAATCCTTCTTCAAATCCTACTTCATCAAATATGACAATGAATCCTACTCAATCAAATTTATTTAATCATCAAATAAATGCTTATAAATATCTTGTTCGAAATCAAACTGTACCTGAACAACATCTATCGGTTATTAAACGAAGTCAACAACAATTTTATCCACCCAATGCTGTTATTTCTAAACAAATATCTAGTCCTATAACGGATCCTCGTTATAGTTCACCAACTATTAAACCTCCAATAAATGGTTCAACTCCACGTTATTTAACACCACAAACTGGTTATTCACCAGTTCAAGTTAATGGTAATACAAATTATCCAACAGGAAATGTTCAAGCATCAACAAATATAATTAATCAAACACCATCAATAACTGAGAATGTTTTAACAAATGTTTCAAGTTTACCTATGACAAATAATCAAACAACAGCATCATCTCGTACAAATAATAATCTTCGTTTAACACCAGTTCAAAAACCAACTGGTCTTGATATACAAGAAATTATTGTTGAACGTGATCTCCGTATACAACATAATATTGTTGTTCGTATAAGTGAATTAGAAAATTTTCTACCAACATTAATACATGATGATCTACGAATGAGAGCTATGATTGAACTTAAAGCACTCAAATTATTAAATTTTCAAAGACAAGTTAGTATTACGAAATATTTGTATATTGTCATATTATTATTATTTATTTATTTTTAGCTTCGTACTGAAGTTGTAACATGTATGCGTTTGGATTCAAGTCTTGAAACAGGTAGTAATCCTCGTTTATATAAACGTTCAAAACAATTTGGTATGCGTGAAGCACGTGCAACCGAAAAATTAGAAAAACAACAAAAAGCTGAAATTGATCGTAAACGTCGTCAAAAACATCAAGAATATTTAACAGCTGTATTAACAGTTGCACGTGAATTTAAAGAATATCATAAATCAGTTCAATTACGAACAAATAAATTAGCAAAATCAATCTTATCATGGCATCAAAATAGTGAACGTGAACAAAAGAAAGAACAAGAAAAACGTGAACGTGAACGTATGCGTCGTTTAATGAATGAAGATGAAGATGGTTATAGAAAATTAATTGATGAAAAAAAAGATAAACGTTTAGCTTATTTATTATCACAAACAGATGCATATATAATAAGTTTAGTTAATCTTGTTAAAGAACATCAAAATGATTTAAAAAAGAAGAAAATGGAAAAGAAACCGAATTTTAATGATGATAGTGTTCAATCAAATGATGAATTAAATTATTTACATGTTAAAGTTAAAAATTTAACAACAGGTGAAGTTAAAGAAGGACAAGACGCACCATTAGAATCTGAACTTGATACATGGTTAGAAAAAAATCCGGGATGGCAACCATTACCAAGAGATGCGAGTGATGATGAAGATGATGAGACATCACGTTTACCAGAACCAGCTCTATCAATACCAGCACCAACAGCTGATGAACAAGAAAAAGGTATTGTTGAAGATGAAACAATTGTTAAAGAAGTTTTAACAAAAGCGAAACAAGCAACTGAAGATGATGAATATCATGCAACATCACTTGATTCGTATTATGCTGTTGCACATCGTGTTCGAGAACGTGTTACAAAACAATCCGAACTTCTTGTTGGTGGAAGTCTTAAACCTTATCAAATACAAGGCCTTGAATGGCTTGTTTCATTATATAATAATCATTTAAATGGGATTCTTGCTGATGAAATGGGTCTCGGAAAGGTAAATTGATACTTCTAAAAATGTTATTAACATTCCAATATAATCTTTAATAAGAAACACTCGAAAATTGAAGGGGAAAGGATTTTTTATTAACTATATTTCTATGGAATATGAGTACATGTTTTTTTGACCTCTTTAGACAATTCAAACCATTGCTCTAATCACATATTTAATGGAAGTTAAAAAAGTCAATGGACCATATTTAATTATTGTGCCATTATCGTAAGTTAATATTATTCATTTTATCTTCGATTTAAATATTTTTTTTTCTTAGTACATTGGCTAATTGGGTTAATGAATTTAATAAATGGTCACCAGGTGTTTCAAAAATTATCTTTAAAGGTAATCCACAAATACGTAAAACACTTGGTCAAACATTACGTACTGGTAAATTCAATGTTTTATTAACTACCTATGAATATGTTATCAAAGATAAAGCCTTATTAGCAAAAATAAAATGGCGTTATATGATAATCGAGTAAGTTCGAAAATTTTTTTTTTATTATTCATTAGAATTTTTCTTTAGTGAGGGTCATCGAATGAAAAATCATCATTGTAAATTAACCCAAGTACTAAATACATATTATATAGCTCCACATCGTTTATTATTAACTGGTACACCATTACAAAATAAATTACCTGAATTATGGGCTTTATTAAATTTTCTTTTACCATCTATATTTAAATCATGTACAACATTTGAACAATGGTTTAATGCACCATTCGCAACAACATTGGAAAAAGTTGAACTTAATAACGAAGAAACATTACTTATTATAAGACGTTTACATAAAGTTTTACGACCATTTCTTCTACGTCGACTTAAAAAAGAAGTCGAATCACAATTACCAGATAAGGTTAATATAGAAAAAAAACGTTGTATTTAGATAAAATATTATACATTTTTTTCTGTTAGATTGAATATGTTATTAAATGTGATATGTCTGCCTTACAAAGAGTTATGTATACTCATATGCAATCATGTGGAATTGTTTTAACAGAAGATAGAGTAAGAGAATGATTAATTTTCTGCAAAAAATCATCTTTTTATTTATATTATCTTTTTAGAATGGTAAAGGAAGTAATCCTAAAGCTTTAATGAATACAATTATGCAATTACGTAAAATATGTAATCATCCATTTATGTTCAATGAATTAGAAGAAAGATTAAGTAAATATTTTAATTATACAAATGGTGTTTGTATGGGGTATGAAAAAAAAATATTTCGAATATTTATTATTAAATTAATTTATTCTAGAGCTGATCTTTATCGTGCATCAGGTAAATTCGAATTACTTGATCGTATATTACCAAAATTAAAAGTATCAAATCATCGTGTATTACTTTTCTGTCAAATGACATCATTAATGACTATAATGGAAGATTATTTTGCTTATAAAAGTAAGAAAAAACTTCTTTTTATTTCTTTTCAATTATCTAATTATTCAATAGATTATACGTATTTACGTCTTGATGGCCAAACAAAATCTGAAGAACGTGGTGATTTATTAGCAAAATTTAGTGAAGCTAATTCGGATATATTCATTTTCTTATTATCAACACGTGCTGGTGGTCTTGGTTTGAATTTACAAACAGCCGATACTGTTATTATATTCGATTCTGATTGGAATCCACATCAAGTAAATAGAATGATTTTGGATTACCTTCAAAATCTCGAAAATAATCACAGAGCGTAGGGAAGCATTCTGCTAGGACATTTTCTTACGCCAACTTCAAAGGGTGGGCGTGGATGATTTTATCTATCTCAACCACACCCTCACCCACACCCTCACGGTGGTTTCTCGAAATTTTCTATTTCGATTATCGAGTTTTTTCGAGATTTTGATATTATCCCGTGATTTTTGCTTTTATAAATATATTTTCTTCTTCTTCGTAAGGATTTACAAGCACAAGATCGTGCACATCGTATTGGTCAAGTAAATGAAGTTCGTGTACTTCGTTTAATGACAGTAAATAGTGTTGAAGAAAAAATCTTAGCTGCAGCTCGTTATAAATTAAATGTTGATAAACAAGTTATTCAAGCTGGCATGTTTAATAATAAATCGACTGGAAACGAACGAAAACAATTTTTACAACAAATTCTTTTAAAAGAAAATGAAGAAGAAGAAGAAGAAGATGAACTTCCAGATGATGAAGTTATTAATCAAATGATTGCACGTAGTGAAGATGAATATAATCTATTTAATGTAAAGAAAAGAATTAACAAAAAAAAATTCTAGATAATTTATTTATTTCTTTGTTTTTTAGAGAATGGATAGAGAACGAACATATGCAGAAGCTAGAGTAGCTAATAGAAAACCACGACTTTTTGAATTATCAGAATTACCAACATGGCTAACAAAAGATCCAAGAGAATTAGAAAAGGCATTACTTGATCAAGAAGCATTGGATTTATTGGGACGTGGTGGTAGACAAAGAAAAGAAGTAGATTATACAGATGCCTTAACTGAAAAAGAATGGTTAAAGGTAAAGATAAATATTTGTTTTAAAATAAATTGTCTATGAAAATTCTTTTCAGGCTGTTGAAGATGGAACATTAAGTGCAACTGAACAAGATAAAAGAAGTCGTCGTAAACGACGTGCTCTTAATCCTGATATGGATGATGATGATGAAGGTCAATTTGATGATAATAATGCTCGACAAGGAGATAATGATATTGATGGAAGTGATTCAAGATCCGGTAAACGAACTGTAAAACGTAAATTTAAAGAAACAAATAAACATTATTCAAATGAACCAGTACCTTCGAAATTATTTAAACAAATGCAAACTCTATACGATTTTGTTATTAAATATCGAGACAAGTATATATATACTTATATTCTTTCTAGTAAAATAATTCATTGGTATGTTTTGTTTCTAGTGATGATAATCGAATTTTAAGTAAACCATTTATGCGGTTACCAACACCAAAAGAATTACCGGAATATTATGAAATGATTAAAAATCCTGTTGATTTCAATAAAATCAAAGTAGGAGTATTTTTTTGGAAATATTTATTTATATATGTATATGATTTGTCTTTAGAAAAAACTTACTGAATATCGTTATCGACATTTAGATGAACTTGAATCTGATGTTATGTTACTATGTAAAAATGCTCAAGAATTTAATATGGAAAATTCAAATGTAAGATATTATATAGACGATATGAATGTGAAAGTCATATATAATTTTTTTATTAGATCTATGAAGATTCAATTATTCTTCAATCAGTATTTACAAATGCACGTGAACGTCTTGAAAAAGGTGATATTCAAGTTAGTTCAAATTCAGAAGATGAATCAGATGATGATGGTAAGAATAATTAAATATGATTCTTATTATTGTTTATTGTATTATATTCATTTTTAGAACCACTTAAAAAACGAGTTAAGAAAGATGGTAGTACAAAAAAGGTAAACGATTAAATGATTCTCATTAACTAATAATGAATTTTTGATATTTAGAAATCATCTCACACTCAATCACGTACACCTGGTAGTGTAAGTAGTAATTCAAACAGTCGACGAAAAACTCATGTTATGAGTGATGATGAAGATATAACAATGGACGAAACAAATAAAGTATGCATTTCATTAGGGATGCGCAGTTTCAGTGCAAATACTGTAAAACTGTCACTATCAGCGCTGACAGTGGCGCACTGAAGCACCGACTTTTACTGATATGAATAAGCCTAGGAAGTCAGTAGAAAGCGGTTTAAGTCGGTGCTGCGGTGCACCCACTGAAAACGCGCATTCCTACATCTAATTATTCTTTATTAAATTGTATAATTTATTTTTTTAGTCATCATATGGTGGTATGGATGGTGATGATGCTGATGATGATGATGAAGGAACTCGTGGTTCTAGTTCACATCAAAAATAAAATACAAATATTTGTTTTTTTCGTTCTTTTTTGTTCTATTTCACTTCAAAAAATTTCTATCACTGTATGCGTATTTTAGCTATACTGTAAAATGTGTGTATGTGCGTGTTATGTACAAAAACAAATAAATGAGCGTGAAAATTAAAGAAGGAAGAGACGTTGTCGTGAACACCGATCCGACAAACGAACAGTTTTTATGTGCAATATTTGCATGAATTGAAAACTTTTTCTCTTTTCTTTCTCAATCTATATCGTTTTTTTCTCTCACGCATTTATTATTTTCGGTTGTATATTCATTCTTTCTTTCTTTCTGTCTTTTCTCTGTCTCTCTCAAATGATGCGCGCTCGTATATCTCGTTTCTTGTTTTTTTTGTTCTTATTATTATTGTTCATTTCTTCAATAGAAGAAACAAGCAAACAAATCTTATATTCATTTAAAAAAAAGACAAATAAATATGTAACGATCATGTGTCAAACACACACAGAAATTAAATGTTATTTAAGATTGATATATTCGGATTACTTGTTTATTAATTGCTACATATATATATATGTATTCTGTTTACGGTTTATTAGGACAGTCTCGTCGTCTCTAGTTAATCTTGTGTCTAGTATTAATTGGATAAAACGTGCTTAATTTTTGTCTTTGAGGTGTCTATCGAGATGAATAAATTGTCACTTTATCAAGAATTATTGTTCATTCGAATTGAAGAAAGATGCTTATACAATCTTTGTCACTGTTAGGTAAGAATTTGTCTTTAGTTGTACGTTGAAATGAATAATTTTCCATATAATATTAGTTGTTTTGCTTATAATCTATGAAACTTCCAGTTCATTTGTTAACAGAACAACATTAGCACCAATACATAATTCAACAACTGTAGTTAAGAAACTTGGAAAATGTATATATATATGAATTTGTTAGATTACCTACATAGCGTATTCTTTTTTTCAATAGATGCACTTGGAGAAAAATCATCGGGTGTTCAATATATGTCCGAAATTGGCTCACGTTGTACCGGTAAATTATTTATCGATAGTCGTTTTCTTTTTAATTCGAAAATTTTAGATGATGGATTTTTTCCTGATAAAAATGATTGCCGAAAATTTCATGTCTGTTACGGTGGTATACAATCAATTCGTCGATGTAAAGAAGGTATGTTATGGGATGAAACAAAGATTGGTTGTAATATGCAAAATATTACAATATGTACTGGTGGAAGACAAAAATGGAAACAAGATGATGGTATATATCTCAGAATTTGATATACAAAAGAATAATTATTAATATTTAGATCCTACTGAAATGATATCAAAATCGGTTAGAGCAAATTATACATGTCGAGCAGGTGCAAATGGATTATTTGCTGATCCAAGTTCATGTTCATTTTATCATTGGTGTGTTCAAGGTGTACTTCATTCATCCCATTATTGCAATCTTGGTTTACATTTTTCAGCTAGTGCCAGTGGATGTGTTCTACCAATAGATGCTGAATGTAAGTAAATGTATAATAACATAAATAGTACTATTTATCAACACGATTGTGTTTTCTTTGATAGCAACAGGAAATTAGTTTTAGATTGCTATGTTTTAATAAGAATACTTATAATTCGATTTCTATTTAAATGACTCAACGGAAGAATATTTTAGTTTCCTTATCATACATTGTATTGAAGCACCTAGTCTAATCAAATATTTGAATTATTTATATTCCTGCCATGCAGCTTCTACATAATATCTAAAATAGAAATAATTTATGCGTATCTATTCAAGAATTTTATAAACCGGTAGTTAATTATAACTATAAAATGCACTTCTTTACCTATAGATAAATCATAAAAAATACAACTGATGCTATATAACAATATATTGACCTTCTTTTATAAGTATAAAGATATTCAGAAATAAAAATACATTAGCATATTTCTTCCTGTTATATTAGAAAACAGAAAAAGTCCGCCTTCGTATACATATCATCACTTATATATTTCAACAACAAACCTGTCATTTTATGATGGAGTATAATTTGCACTTAAGAAAGAAATTATTCAATCCAACTAGGCTCACATTCTAAGATAATAAAGATTAATAAAAATTGAAAGATTTCTATTTTAATTTAAGGTGAAGGACAAATTGCACCACCTTATTCATCAATTGAATGTGCATTAGATCGTTCTGGATACTTTCCTGATCCTTATGATTGTTCTGTATTTCATTATTGTGATGGTAAACTAACATATATATATATTTCATGGTTAAATAAACTTATTTTGATTAAAATCTAGGAGTACGAATTCAAAGTGAAGCATTACTTTGTTCTGCTGGTCGTGTATGGAGTTCACGTAAGATTTCCTTACTAATTATAAATAATATTCTAAAATGGAATCTATTTATAGGTTTAGAAAATTGTGCTTGGCCGCATGAAGTACCTGAATGTATGTATTTTGTTTTCTTAATAGTTTCTATTCAATCTGTCATATAGGTATAAATGCATGCCCACCTAATTACTCTAGTCAAATGCGTTTTGCTGATCCAGCTATATGTTCACAATATATTCAATGTGTTGGTGGTAGTTTACAACAAAGAACATGTTCAAATAATCTTCTCTTTGATCGTATTACAAAAACATGTAAACCCTATGAACAAGCAGAATGTCATGGTGATAAATCAGAATTACCAGTAACACAAACAAATAATTTTTGTAAGTTAATAATCAACTTGTGTATTGAAGAGATTGAAACTATTTCTTATTTTTGTATTATTTAGATGCATTCTCCGATGGATTTGATAATAATCCAATGCCATCAGAAGGACCGATTAAAAAACAAAGAACAAATCAATTTAATTGTTTTGGTAAATCGATTAAATTTGTTTTTGATGTATAAGTTTTTGTATTATACAATATAGTTGATGGTTATTTTGGTGATACACAAGATTGTCGCATTTATCATGTATGTGTTGATGGACGTGATTATCGTTCTGTATGTGCACCAGGTTTACATTGGGAATCTTTATTACGTTTATGTTTGCCTGCTCATCTAGTTAGTTGTCAAAATTCAAAATCAATTGACTCATCATCAGGTAAATACAGTCGATAATCTCGTTTATTTTCTTCAATAAAAACTTCTCTTTTTTTTTAAAATAGGGTCAAAGCAAAATTGGCTTCAGTTATTTACTCGATCTGTAATAAAAACAACGACAACAACAACATCACAAACAACACCATTATCTTTACCCTCGATTTTTACTTGTGCTGGTCGTATCAATGGTTATTATTCAGATCCTATTCATTGCCATAAATTTCATTATTGCGGAACAGGTGAATAAAAATTTTTTTTTTTTTATTGTCTCTTTTAAACACAGTTGTTTTTCTCTTAGGTTGGCATAGTGTTATGGAATGTGATAAAGGTTTAGCATATTCTGTTCGTGAACATGATTGTATACCTATCGAACTTACTAATTGCAATATCAATAAAACAAAAAATAAATAAATACTCGTTTTTTTATTGTCTTAATTGTTATGAAAATTTATTTAATCGAATAAACGAAAGAATGATTTATGATATATAGACCATGTGCATATTTTTCCCTTGTCTATATTACGATTCTCTTTCTTTTGATAAAAGTATGGGTTAGTTTATTTCATATAGTATACTTTTATATGATTGGAATAGAGAAAAAAGCGTACGAAGAAAAAATCCAACAAATGCTGGCAAGAAATAAATGTAAACGAGAAGAAAAAAAAGAGAGAAGGAAAAAAGAGAGAGTATGGAGTGCGTATAAAAAACGACAGAGACAAAAATACCAACCGAACATTATTCTTTGCATGGCCCTATACGATTTACAATAAGAGCAATTTCTTTACGTATTATTGTTCTTTTTCGTCAAAGATAAACGTTTTTGTTATTGATATTTGTTAGAACAATCTGATAAACTTTTGTGATCGTTATACTTTGGACTTTGTACTTTTGTTTTAATATTAATGTCTCTTCTTACGTCGATTGTTGACGACGAACTATTAACCAATACGTTACAAAAAGGCCTCTATACCCTCGCTGCATGTACAGTTATTGGTGCAGCAGTCTATGCAGGTTACAAAGCTGCTGAACCCGCAAGCAAACATTTACTATCACATCGTCATCCGGAGTCAAATGAACGAGTAAGATAAAACAAAATATTTGAATCAAGTCTAAAGTATATATTTATCTTTTCGCGTCATTAATCAATGTTAAGTATTGATATACGATAAAGGAGATATGATAGCAGCATGTTTTTTTTCTTTCGCTATGCGTCATATTAGTAAAGAATAAAATGCAAGAGACGCTCAGAGAGATATATATTACACTCCCTCGAAAGTACAAAAAAAAAAGAGAAAGAAAGAAACAAACAGAAAAGATATACGCATGAATATACATAACAATATAAAGAATATCGTATGTATATTCTACAGTACAAATATATTACTCTTTGACTTACTATGATAAACACTTCACTG